GGCCTCTTGGTGATGCCAACTAACTATTACCTGAATACAATCACATGTGACGAGGCTCGGATAATCCTTCGAGTAAGGGACTCATCTCTACAACGGTTAGGACTCAAACAAGAGCTACGCAATAGAGTCAAATCCAACACTCTGAGATTATTCAACCCTGATCACATGTGACTTAACGTATTCACCTAACAGTTAACTCCCATCACTTCAACGCCCACATAACACAAAGCAAACAACATTTGGACGTAAGAAAACAATCTCAAGCAACTCTATCCTCAAGAGAGAACTGAACTAGCATATAATGCTAAACTCGTACTATCAGGAATAACCTAAACAGGCTACCCTACTGCTGTCTACTCAACTCTAGCATGCAACTCTTTCGTATATTAAAGCACATAAAGCAGGCACATAAGGCATCACTCCTAGATCTTTAGTCCTATTCTAGCATGCTGTTCTACAGAATTGATAAACATAAATAAACTTGTATGGGTACATTGGGGAATACTTACTTGAGCTCGGCCGGTCGCGCACATCACACACTTCGCTCTTTCTTAAAACCCTTTTACTTAGCCTTTTAGAAAAACATTTTCTCTTTCCAAAATCTTTTAATCCCCTCGATTTGAGTTCAAACACCCCCGAAGGTGTGTCCGAATCCCTCAAACCAGGGCTCTGATACCAACTTGTAACGACCCAATTTTCACGTCCAAAAATTTCGTTTTTTAAAACATTACTTTAGAAATCGTTAGTAAATAAAACATTGTTTAATCAAACCATATCACAACATAAACCATGTCCAAAAGCCAAATCATACAACCAATCGAAATATCAGAGTATAAATCCAAGAGAAATTTAATAAATGCGGAAACCAGTGTGTGTGCATGATGTGCCGCTACCGTGCCAGCTCCTTCCCCTTTGATGAAGAGGTACCTGAAACCAAAACTGTAAACTGTAAGCACAAAGCTTAGTGAGTTCCCCCATCGTACCACATACCATACAATACATAACATACATACTGTCAGGCTATTCTGGGGTGCCTGACTACCCGATACGGCCATTCTGGGGTGCCGACTACCCTTCGGTCCTAACAACCGACCCTAGGGGACTATTTCACCCCTACTACTACCATCACATATACCATAACACAAACATAATATCAGACATGTATGGGGTGTCTGATTACCCTTCGGTCCTAACAACCGAACTTGGGTACTGGTCCCCTCCTACTACCTCTATCGCATATAACATAACAAGCCAACATGCAAACATATCATATTATGCTGTCAGACGTATCTGGGGTGTCTGACTACCCTTCGGTCCTAACAACCGAACTCTACTACTATCACATATAACGAATCACGCTAGCACATATCATATCAGGTAGTAACAAACCTAGATGATATCACAAAGACAATCATCTATCATACGTCTCCTATTGGTGGGCCGACATTGTGGCCTTAGACCCACCGTTACTGGAAGGTAACTCACCTCGGAGTAGCTGCTGATCTGATAGGGAACTGACTGTCTACTGTTGCTGATGCTGCTCCAGAAATCCTCCAGCTGTAATTCCCACAACTTACTCAATTAAATACTGCTAACTATCCTTTGGGTAAAATGACCATTTTACCCCTGATCATGCCCTAAGTCAAAGTCAGAGTCAACTTCCAGTTGACCCAACTTGCCGAGTTGGCTCACTAAATAGTCCATGTCCAAACAACTGTCCTGGATTCTGTTGCTACTCGTCGAGTTAGGCGTTGACTCGATGAATTCTCCTTCCAAGCTGATGTTCAAGTCCTTCATCCTACTCGCCGAGTTGTATGAACAACTTGCCGAGTTCATCTTCATCCGATGAACAAGTTATGTTATGACTCGCCGAGTTGTATGAACAACTCGCCGAGTCTGATCTTGATCTAAGGAGATTGCCTTGAACTCGCCGAGTCTGGGCATCGACTCGCCGAGTTCTATCATGGGTGAGTTTTGGCTTCCAACTCACCGAGTCCGCCCTAGACTCACTACACAACTCGACACAGCAAAAAGGGGACAATCTCGGAGACTCGCGATTAGACTCGCCGAGTCAGATGAGCGACTCGCCGAGTCTGTTTCATGCAAGAGCCATAAACGCGATTTTGCTCGAATCCAGTCCATGCCATTCGTAGATCTGGGCTCCTATAGCATGAATAACACGTAAAGTTTCCAACTTTAAGTGTAAATATCCATCTATTGGGGTTTTAGGGTTCAAAATGCACCAAAAGAGTAGTTCTAAGGTTTTCATGCAATATGGGTCCATAAAGATGGTAGATCTAAGCTCCTGGAGCTCAACCATGCTTAGATCTAGAGGCCAATCAACTTATTTCGAAATATGATGCACATACAAGCTTGGAAAATGGGTCATGAAGGACTTTAATGGGGCCATAATCATGAAGACATGGGGAAAAACGAGCCATACCTTAGTGAACACTCTAAAATAGTCTCAAGGGTGCTTGACCTCCTCTTCTTCTTCTTGATCTCCTCTCCTACTTACTCCAAACTTCAAGAGGACACACCAAATGGCTTCAAATCCACAAAAACAAGGCTTAGAACGAGGTGTAGGGCTCTGAGGGTGAATGGGGGCTGGCTTGGGGGCGGAAAGAGGGATTACATAGGGTGCAAGCCCCTGAAACTTAGGGTTTCATCCAACAGCGGTGACTCGCTGAGTCCAGGATATGGACTCGCCGAGTCGCCAACTTAAACGTGTCCCGGGTCCCGTCCCTACTCGGCGAGTCGGACCTATGACTCGCCGAGTCCAAGGCTTAAAATGAAAAATACTCAAATAAGATTTACGTACTAGGGACCAGGTGCTACACGCAACCACCACTGCCTCTACCGTCAACACTAGTGATGCCACTACTACCACCACCTTCACCTTAATCACCACCACACATTGTCGCCATCACCACCACCGTCGCTTTTGCCACCATCGCCGCCGCCACCACCACCGTTTACTATTTTTATAATTTATATAATATATATTTACATATAATTATAAAACAAAGTAAAAGTAAGCAAAAACCAAGAAGTGTAGTTCTGTCATTTTACATTATTCCAATTCTATTTTTCGCCGACCAAACAAAATATAAAATTGGATTCAAATTCCATTTACTACTAACCAAACAGAATATTGAATTGGATTCCAATTCAAGACAGATTCCAATTCCTTAATAGATTCTAATTCCTCCGAAAACATTTTGCGAACCAAACACCGCCTAAATTTCTAAATTTAATCTAATTATTTTAATTGTTATTTATTTAAATTATCAATTTTGTTTAAATCTAAAATAGATATGAACACTTCAACTTTAATAGTTAAATATTTTCCTCTGCTTCCTTATAAATTCAACATGTTAACGAAGGATATCATCATCAACAGGGCTCTATAACCTAGAGGGATACTCTCTAAAATCAAAATTCATCATCAAATAAAGTAAACCAGATGTCATATCTGATCATGATGGGTATTATCTAAAACCCGATGGATAAGAAATTGTAATTCAAAGTTTTAATTACATACAAACCTTAGTTACATGATCTGATTTCAAATGGAAGGATCTGGTGGCATAGTTCTTGGATTTGGGGGATGAGGAAATTATTGATCACACCATTTGAAAATGCATTTATTCCCTGATTTTAACCACCATCGATTCAACTTTAGCCCCATCCATTGCTTGCAATCTACTATCTGAAAATGAGTTTATACCCGATCTAAACTACCATCTGGAAAACGATTTTCTTCCCCAATATAAAGGTGGAAATAAGTTGTAAGTTTTTGGAGTTACAATGGTTCGTTAGAAAACAACCAATGTATCGTCTAGATCTAGGGTTTTCTCGTCGGAAGTGGGTTTCCAGAACTTGATACTTTCGAAACGGGATTTGGGTTTAGACTTTTTGGGGGTTCTAGAACTCGATATTGGTGGCTGTCATGGTCACCAAAACTAGAGGTGATCGCCAGATTTGAACTAATGGTGAATTGTTTTTGTGAGAGCAACATCAGAGAGAGGGTTGGGAGGAAAAAAAAGACTTGCATGTTCCAGGGTTTAAGTTGTGCACCTTATTTGTTTTTTTATTTAATTTATACTCACTCCGTTCCAAAATTATATTCCATCTTTCCTTTTTGGTTTGTTCCAAAATAATAGCTCACTTCTAAAAATAAATAACATTTTTACCAAAATACCCCCTTATTATTACTTAACAAACTAAGTATTTAATGAAACATTTAATGCAAAGTAATGACAAAACTATCATTTTATTGTATAAAATTAGTGATAATAAATAACTTCTTAATCTATATGTTTTTTGTCCGTGGATAATAATTTTGGAAGGAAAGAAGTACATAATAACAATAATAATAAATTAACTAAAAGTAAATGCATAATGGGTAATATAGTCATTTTAGGTCTATTAATGACCAAATACAAAAACAAAACAAAAGATAAAGGTGATCCAAGTTAAAAAAATAAATAAATTAATGACCAAACGCTCAAGTAACCACAAAGCATAGGGACCATCTGTGTAATTTACTCAAAATTTTATATATTCGGAAACCCAAATATCAAAAATTATGATTAGGATATTTTTGAACACCCTTAATGATATATAAGATATCTGATAATATTGGATTTATATTTTATAAATTTTCCATTTAGATTAGTTCATTAGTCATTAGAGATGAACTTTTTGTCGAGATTAATAGTTCAATGCATTTAACAGCCTTGCTTGGGTCGATTGGAGATTGGCGGTCTAGAACCGGTCGGTGTAGTCCCTAGGCAATTTTTCAGATCTGTACTGATCTGTGGTTGTCATCTTCCTCCCAAGTCCCAACTGGCCCTAAAAGGAATTGGGCTTAGCTCGAGCATAATAAAAAATCTGAAAATAAGGCCCAAGAGCAATATGTGTTCGCCTGGTGCACTGACCCAAAAACATGGGTTTAATTGACCCGATGACTCGGATGACACCTTGTTAAATTATACCGAGCGTAAAAGCCCTAGGGCTAGTAGCACTGGTAATATGCCTGATATATATAGTCTACCCATCTATCGAAGTCGGTCTGTTATGATATAAACCAAGGATCAATCGAAACGGATTAATCACTTCGTCTCCCCAAATTCTACATGCCAATCAACCCTGATTAGATTAATAAAAGGAAAACCAATTTAAACATGTCGAATATATCATCATCCTCATCACCGGTAGCTATGAAAGACGTGGTACACAAGCTACAACTATGTCTGTTAGAAGGTATCAAATCTGAAACCCAGTTATTCGTAGCTGGATCTTTGCTCTCTAAGTCGGATTATCACGACGTTGTCACCGAAAGATCAATTGCTCAAATGTGTGGTTACCCGCTTTGCCCCAACTCATTACCCTCTCCGGGAGAAGCTGCAGTTAAGGGCAGATATCATATTTCTCTGAAAGAGCACAAAGTTTACGACCTTTTAGAAATGCGTATGTATTGTTCGACAAAATGCGTAGTTGACAGCCGGGCATATGCTGAAAGTTTGCAGGATGAACGGTCCTTGGTTATTGATACAGCGAAAATCAATAAGGTGGTGAGGCTGTTTGACGGTTTGAGTGTGAAGGCTGAAGAGGGTTTGGAGGACAGTGGTGATTTTGGATTACGTAACTTGTCAATTAAGGAGAAGGAAGATGGAGCTGTTGGTGGCGGAATCGTGTCTTTGGAGGAATGGATTGGCCCTTCAAATGCAATCGAGGGTTATATTCCACAACATGAACGCAGTTCAAAAAATAAACCGGGTATGAGATGAATTGTTTTAGTTGATTGCTGATCGTTTTTTTTTTCTTTATCATAAAGTTAGCAATTTATATGCGATTGGAATAGCTGTACGCCTGTACCTACCTTCGTGACTATAAAATTCTCAGATAGTCTGTCTCTCACGTCTCACCAGTGTTTCTTAAGGCTCTCGAGAACTATAATTTCCCATTTCCATTTTTGGTTTGTTTACTGTATATGAAATACAATGACAAAATCTCTATAATTAGGTTTTTGGTGTATAAAAGTTTCCAAGGATTCTAATTGTAAGCAATACCTTAAGCAGCACCAAGTGGATGTATTGGTCACTAAAGCATTGCTATTTAAGGCATTGTCTAGGAGCTTAGTAAAAAATTGTTCCACTTCCACATAATGGGAGACACTTTGAAGCCACTTTTACATTATCTGAGTCTGTGATAAGATTCACACCATTAGCCCCCTTGGATAGTAAGTATACAAGAGAAGGAATCACACATGGGTGGCTGACAATGACATCTGTGGAGGAAGGTCAATGATGCATGAGAGGAAAGGGAATAAGAGAATAATACTATATTGTTACAGATTGGGTGTGATGTCATTCATCTTTTTGAGAATTAGAAATCGGCTTGTAAGCTTGGGGAGGAAGATGATCATTTGATTGTTCTCTGATTTTGTTTCGGTCTTTATTTGAAATTGAATGAAAGCTTTTCCTCTCTGAATCATTGAAATCAATTTTGTCATTATTGTTTCCTACTCAGACAGACTGATATCATACCAATCTGTGAATGTGCTTCTGATTAGTTATTATAGAGAAAAACTAGCATAGTTTGTTCAAGTATGATTCAGAGGTATAATTTGTTCAAGTATGTGTGTGTGTGGTATCTGTTTCAGGGAGGCCAAAAAGGGAAGAAGAGAGCATCTTTGGCGAGATGGATTTCATGAGTACCATAATTACTCAAGGTGATGGATATAGCATATCTAAAGGAAAAGAAGCTGAAACAAAAACTAGTAGTAGTAGTAGAAAGAAAATGAGCCATAATAATAATAAAGATAAGATGAAAACATCATCATCATGTAATGTGCAAAAGAAAAAGGTAACCACATCAAATGATGAAGAGAGTGAAAATGGTAACAAGGCAAAGATTGGTTCCTCTGAGCCAAGTTGTAGTGTCGGGGGGCTTAAATCATCTCTGAAATCTTCAAGTAGGACAAATCGGTCTGTGAGTTGGGCTGATGATCAAACACTGTGTGAATTCAGTGGAAATGATCCTGATCCTGAGCATGAGCATAAATTCCGAGTTGCATCAGCAGAAGCCTGTGCTGCAGCACTCAGCCAAGCTGCAGAAGCCGTTGCTTCCGGGGAATCTGATGCTCCTGATGCTGGTAAGTAAGTTTCACTTTTCTTTTTTTGGTCTAATAACAAAACAAACATCCTAAAATTTTGGTTTTTATAAATACCATTACTACTTTTTCTTTTGATACCAGTTTCTGAAGCTGGAATTGTAATCCTGCCACCTCCTGGTGATGGTGCAGAAGCAGAAGCTGAAGCAGAACCAGCCCGATTGAAATGGCCCAAAAAAACCGGTATCACAGAATCCGACTTCTTCGATTCCTTTGAGGATTCTTGGTTTGATGCTCCACCAGAGGAATTTGTCCTAGATGTAACTACAATTTCTACATTCTTCTATACTTTACTTTAAGTGCAAGAAACAGACCAACCTTCTTCTTCCATTTCTTTCTTTCTTTCTTTACTACAGCATCCTACTGCATAGGGTTGCAAACAAGCCGAGCCGAGCCTAGCCAGGCTCGTTTAAGTTATATAAGGCTCGAGCTCGGCTTGATTCGAGCTTTATTGTACAGAGCTCGTAAAGAATTATAGAAGCTCGGCTCGTTTTTTTGTCTAAATAAGCTTAAGCTCATTAAGAAGCTCATTTATTAATACTTTAAATCCTTAATTCCCACAATATGTTTCTATATTATTATATATATAGGCTCGTTTACGAGCTTAATTAATGACATAGGTTTGTTTAAAATCAGTCTCGAGTTGAGCCATCGGCATCCAAATACAATTACAAAGCACTGTTATAGTTGGGTAGATTTTTCATTGTATAATGTGTCCCTAGTGAGAAAAAAATTGAAATTTGAAAGTAGAATGCTATGATCCTTATTTATTCTGATGCAAAAAATTCCACTGAGTTTCAGCTATCGCCATTTGCAAGAATGTTCATGTCGTTGTTTGCATGGGTTTCCTCATCTACTTTGGCGTATGTATATGGAGGTGATGATAGTTGTTATGCATGGGTTAATGGGCGGGAGTATCCGCGGATAGTTGTATTGACAGATGGCCGGTCGGCTGAAATTAAGACAACTCTCGCAGGCTGTCTTTCTCGAGCTTTACCTGGACTTGTTCATCATCTCAGACTTCCCACTCCCGTTTCTACTATTGAATCCATGATGGTAAATATAATTACTACCTACTTTCAATCATGTTTATTGCTTTCCATCTTTTTCCAGAAAAGTGGTATTTGGATGCCATTTGCTACAATTGGATAATTTTTTTCTTCAAAAATAAATTCTAAATACATTTAAAACTGAGTGTGTGATTATAATGATAATAATTATTATTTGCTGGCAGGGTTGTTTACTCGACACCATGTCTTTTATTGATGCACTTCCACCTCTCAGAATGAAACAATGGCAGGTGTTTGTTCTTTTGTTTGTTGATGCTCTTTCTGTCTCCCGGATTCCTGCCATGACCCCACACTTGGCAAATAAAAGAAGGTTCTTTCAAAAGGTGAACTTCAAGATAATGACATTCAAAATATTATGTGTATACAAAAACTTTACACCTTGCATACAGAAAAACAACCACATCACTTTATATGTTAACCTTTTATTTATTTCACTTTCACTTCACTATTATTATAACTTATAAGTATGATAAAAAAAATAACTGAGTGGATAAGATTGTGAGTGTGTTTGTTATTCTATATTTTCCCTTTTTAAAACAATTATGGTTTTTGATCACAGCAATAAAATTTAGAAACTTTAACTAGTTTGTAACTTCCCCGAGTTATATAGGAGATGTGCATGTAAAAACAAGGATTTGCGTTTTATTTCTTATATTATATTTTTCCTTTAAAACTTTTACCCATACCAAAAACCACAGGGGTATAATTTGGTTTGGTTAATTTTTCAACCTATAATAACAATCATAATAATGTCCTTATAAGAAAAATAAAAATAAAAATACACCAAGAAAATAACTTGAAAGTGAATTGTTGTGTTGTGATAGAAAGAAATCAAAGTAGGGTGTTTTATATATTATAAAGAAGCGAAGTGATAGTGGTTACCAACTTTACAAATTCAAGACTCTTGTATCTTTCTGATTTTTATTTGGAAACTGATGATGCAAATAATCTCTAATAATTTTGTTATGTGGTTGTGGTTGAGCCAGGTGTTTGATGATGCTCAGATAAGTAGCGAGGAATATGAGCTGTTAAAGGATTTGATCATTCCGCTAGGACGAGCCCCTCAATTGGCTACACAAAGCGGAGGCTAATTCTTCCTTTCCTTTCTGTTGATGATATGTTTCTCATCCAAGTTTTCTTTCTCTTCAAGCATGTGTTTGTTTGATGATATGCTCAAATCACTAATATGCTCAAATTTTATTTACATGTTTTTACATATGTAGTCATCAAAAATCGTAAACATCACCGCTATTAATTCAAAGCTTAAATTGAATGAACAAGCAAAACATGTTATGTCTTTTAAGTTGCTTTTGTATTCCGAATTGAAGCTTTCACTGCTCGATCTTCTTATGCCTTCCTTTCACTTTCACATATCCATCTTTATCTCTATTTATCCTCTTAGGTGTTTGTTTTTTAAGAGGTAAAAGTTTGTCATTTGCCGATCACATTTGCAGTTTTCTGCAGAACAACATTAGTAGTTCGTAAGATTGTTTGTTTTAAAGTTTGTGGACTGTTAAAATGAAGAGAGTTTTTTTCTCACTTACATTTTATCAATAGTTATATAAAGTTTATAAAAGAAAACTTAAATTTAAATTCAAAACGCATAGATAGAATCTATCATATTGATTCAAACTGTTTTCAAAATAAAAAAATAAAAATGTTATATATGTGAAAGCTCATGAAACCTTGAAAATCATTCTAAAAAATAGATAATTCTAAAAATTGTATACATCAGACCATTTATGGCAGATTCAAAACAGATGAAAGTAAACACTAAAATAGAATGAATGCATCATTAAAATCTATGAATAGATGGAAATAGAGCACTTGAACAAAATTATTTTTTATTTTTTTGTTAATCTATTGTATAGTTAAAAGGATTTGTCGATTACAAAAATGTGTGTTGAGTTAGTTGAACAAGATTATATCAATGTTTGATTAAGATAGATATACAAATGATTCTTGTAGTTTGGTGTAATTTGTGCTCTTGAACCCTATTTATTTATATTTATTATTATTATTATTATTATTATTATTATTATTATTATTATTATGAGTAAATTACATGAATGGTCCCTATGGTTTAGGGTAATTTACACGTTTGGTCCCTAACTTATTTTTTTAACTCGGAAGGTCCCTACTGTTTGCTTTTATTACATGTTTGGTCCCTACTTTGTGTTTTTGTTATGTGCTTGGTCCCTGTCTTTCCTAAAAATACTATTATTTAAATAGGAAAAAAAATAGTGGGGTAAGGTAAGGTGAGGGGGTGGAATTGTGGGTGTGTTTATCTAAATAAATTAAAAAACCAAGGGAAAAATAGTCTTTTTAACTAAGACAGGGACCAAACGCGTAACAAAAACAAACAGTAAGGACCTACCGAGTTAAAAAAATAAGTTAGGGACCAAACGCGCAAATTTCCCTAAACCATAGGGACCATTTGTGTAATTTACTCTATTATTATTATTTTTAAACTTAGATCATCCCATTGGTTTGGTTTTGTTACGTTGTTGGTCCATGATCGACTTAAAAAGATTATTGTACCTTGTTTATTATCTATTTAAATTTATATTCACATATATTGAGATAAGTCCTTGATAGTTCAAGAAAGTGACCTTAAGCTTATTCGAGGATGTTAGTGATCCCAGATAAGATGTTATTCCAATGATGTATGAGTTTCGAGAGTTGAACTGATATGATGGTTGACGTATTCAATATTAAGAAGATTATTTGTTTTTTGTATGCATTAGAATATGGAACAAGATAAAAAAAATCATTTCTTAGTTGTACGGTTCATGTTGATTTGTTTTAGATGTACATTATATTCCCTTGGTTCTTTGCATGCTTTGTATTATTTATTTAAAGGCAGATCAACCATGTTGTTTTACATCCTCTATCAATACAACTAATCAGATATGTGTTCTCTTTATATCATTTTCTCCGTTCTTCATTTCATACCCAATCATTTTTATTCATGTAACTTTTTGTATTAAATACATGTTGATTATGTTCAAGTAACTCGACTGGAACTGTTTAGTCTTTATTGTTCTTTCAGTTAGTATTAGAGCATAAGTGGTAGTTCTTTGGATCTATCCGACCAAATTATCATTGCTTGATAATGTACCAGTTCTCTCTTGCATTTATGGATTACAGGATAAAAGTTCTTGATGTATATCATCATTAATCTTAAATTTAAAACTAAGCAATGACTAACCGTAATCAACAATCGTATTCGATGCATATAGCCAACATTGTGGGTTGCCCTACTTGAGCCTTATTGTTGGTGCTTGAGGAAAATGATGTTCCAGTTAGAACCATAGTTCAAGATGCAGTTGCTCAACTCCTAGGTCAAGGTCAGGGTAGAGGAGCTCCTCTAACTGCTCTTGATATCGAGAAGATGTAGGCCGAGAATATCGCTTTCTTAGAAATGATTTTTGGCATACCTCTTCATCTTTTCGAGCATGCCAAGTTGTGTAAAAGTGCAAAAAAATAAAAAGTTGTCGAAAGGTTCAGAAAATGTCAAAGACAAAAGATTAACATTTGTTGTCAATGACTATGACACATTCACAATTCTTCATGGTGAATATGTTTTCAATCTACTTCAAATCGATTTCATCTTACAATCTTATTGCTCACGGTGTTTCAAGAACTCTTATTAAACACAAGCTCAACTTCATTAACAACCTCGAACAGGGCTGGGGTAATGTGAAATATTGTTTATAAAGTAATGGTTCTTTAAAAAAGTTGACCCTTTTTAGCTCTTCGATGAACTTCAAGGACATGAATCCAATGTGGAACAGACTCTAAGAGAGATCTTTGGTGGACCTTGCTCTTGTTAGTACAACAAGTTATAAACCACCTGAAAATTTTCCAATAGAGCCATAGGTTTAGGAGTCAAATGTTCCAATTCTATAGGAATATTTTAGACTTGATCTTGAACTTGAAACAGTGGAATAAGCTTTTGAAAAGGAGTTTTGCTCTTCTCGCTATGAAGTACAACCAATGACTATATCTTGGGTTGAACAACTGAAATCCAAAGCCATTCCATAACCGATACCAGAACAACAATTCACAACATATGTGTAATAGCCCGGATTTCCAGGTATCTTTTATTCGCATATTTTTGGTGTTTTGTGAGGGGACTCGGCGAGTTGGAGCTCGAACTCGCCGAGTAGGGTCGCGGTTCAGGATGCGGGTTCGCGCGTGGACTCGGCGAGTCTGTGCTGTTGGATGAAACCCTAATTTTCCGGTCCTAAGCTCTATTTAAAGGATCTTATGGCCCTTCATTACGGCCACCTTGATCCTTGAGAGCACCAAAGCAGATGAGAGCTCCTGTGAGTGAGATAAGAGGCTATTGTTCACCAAATTTGTGTGTTTTTGCAAGAAAGGAAGGGGGAAAAGTCAAGATAGAAGAGTTGGGAGCTTGGATCTACTTCCATTTCATCAAGGGAAGTTTCTTGAGGTATCTTTCAGAGCTTATTTCCGTGTTTATGTTGATATGGTCAAATCTAGGGTTTCTTCTTGCCTTATTTGTTTTGTAATTGAAGTGTGAGAGGTCCCATGGAGATATGGTACCTAGATCTGGACCTTAGCAGGTCCAGAAAGTCCCAAATGATATGCTTTATGTCCTTCCTTTTGGGTTGGAGGCTAGGGTTGCCATATTAGTGGTCATTTCTCCAAAAAGAACCTTGTAAGTGTTGCATGGTGGGCAAGACTGTGACTTTACGTGATAAATGAGCTTAGGAGGGCCAGATCTATGAGTTTATGGAGCGGATCTGACCTCAGAAGCAAGTTTGAGTCGATGCATGGCATGGACTCGCCGAGTCTGAAGAACAGACTCGGCGAGTAGCATGAAGATTGTCCTTAACCACTTAGTGAGTGGTCCTGCCGAGTTATGGTTGACTCAGTGAGTCACGGGGAGTTAGAGAGGGATTGACAGGTGGACTGAGTCGAGCTGGAACTCGCCGAGTTGTCCTTGCGACTCGGCGAGTTGAGTCGCGGTGGCCCTGCGATTCATGACCAGGTGGAACTCATCGAGTTAGGGGAGTACTCGACGTGTCAAAGGGAAATCCTTGCGAGTTGGTGAAAACGCTTATACTCGCCGAGTCGCTCTAGTGCACTCGCCGAGTCCGGTCAAATTGACCATTGACTGTTGACCAGAGTTGACTTGATAGGGATGGTCAACCTTAGTGGTACAAGTATTAATTAGAGATATATGATGTTATAGGAGGATTATAGCTCGGGGGTTCGAGCACGAGTGATTTCCAGGGTTCGCGAGTTATCGAGATATACGAGGTGAGTCTTCTCACTATACTGTATCCGGAAGGGTTTGACTGTGTGATCGGAAGGTCGATTATGATATGAGATATATGCATTATGTGTGATAAGTTAATCGTTATACGTGCCATGTATGATATGCTTGATATGGTCCGTAAGGCATTATGTTATGGGCCGAAAGGCGTTGTAAAATGGACCGTAAGGTTGATGTGGGTAGGACCGGAAGGTTTACCCAGTCGGGACGGAAGTCCCCTGAGACACATGGACCGGAAGGTCAGGGCCTGGAAAGGCGTATGTGCGTAGGTTGTATTTTGGGGAACTCACTAAGCATTTATGCTTACAGTTGTTGTGTTATGTGTTTCAGGTACTAGCGAGGACCGTGGGAAGGCACCAGCGTGATCGTACACACACTCGGGGGAAACTATTTTTGTGATCTTTGTTATGTAATCGGTCGTGACAATATTGTTTACATTGGAATCTAAATTACTACTTGATGTTTTTAATGTTTGTAAAAATGAAAAAAATTGGTTTTAAATGTAAAGAGAGTTAGCTGAAAGTGAGAAAGCCTTATTTGCTATTGTGTTTTAGAATGTTGATGGGTATTGGTCCTCTGGAGACAAAAAGGAGAGGAATGGTGATAGGAATCTGTGTCTTATGGAAATAGATCATGTGGGATGTGATTCTGGATACTGGTCCCCGATCTTAGATAATGATGAAGATGATGTTGACGATGCTCCAGAGAGAAACAAATGCTACATGGAAACCAATCAACCATAGATGACCAAGAGGAGATTTTTAATGATGTCACACCCCCAAACCAAGGATGGCGGAAACGTCCGAGGGTGGAGGACTTCATGTATAGTATCATAACCACAATGGCAATAGTAATTCAAGAAAACACAACCAACATATATATAATTGAAAGAGTTACATCATTGTATGAATTACATGTTTCCAAATCAATTACAATATGTTGACAAAATATGAAATGTTGACACCTCAACGTCCCATCCTCAAAATGCACTTGGTTACCTGATTAGTGTAACGACGTAAATTTTAAAACCAAATTTTCATTTTTGCAAACATCAAAACCTCG